TTCTTGGTTACAAAATACTGGTGATGAAATATTGGCAAAACCAAAGTTCCTTACAAGAGGCTTACTAGCTGACAACCATGTCTGCCTGCCTGCCTGCCTGCCTGCAGCTGTAATCATTACAAACAGCTCACTGGAGAGCTTGGTGAGTTGGAGCACCTGGCTGTGGAGCCTGGCATCAGGAGTTCAATTTCCCAACTGTGGCTTGTGGGAGAAGCGCCAGCCTGCGTAGCCTTGGGCAAGCGACAAGAGTTCCAGAACAATGCCAGAAAAAAAAAGGGAATCGTAAGCTACTTCTCAATATTACTCAGTAGAAAATACTAGAAAATCTCATGTTGGAGGCAGCTTGTGAGTACATCATCATCATCATTCAATACAAAGATCATCTCCAAAGGATGTAATTCCTTTTTTGAATGACATCTGTAAAGGTGTGGCCTATTCTTGCATTTGTATTTTATCTTTTACAAGCTGTCATATTCCTGGGGGGTTATATTCTCCCCTTCCTCCAAAATACTTTTTACCAACTCTCTTTAAAAATGGCAGCCTAGGAGATTTAACTATAACTCCCTATCCTATTCTGGACCCCTGTTCCATCACCTTCCCTTTCTTCATTATCTCTGTTGACTTTGTAATGGCTACAGTGGTGCCCTAGGTAGTTATACACCTTCCCTTTCTTCATTATCTCTGTTGATGGCTACAGTGGTGCCTTAGGTAGTTATGGCTCAAGCAGGTGTAATTATCCCAGGCAGAGGATCACACGTGAGCCCCACCGAATCCTCTGGTTTGGTTACCCTCCTACATGTAGTAAGTGATGAGTAGGGCATATCATTTTTTTCCTGCAGTCTATGTTTGAAAGTATAAGTGGGTTGGACTTGCTTATGAGTAATCTGGTGAGAAAGACCAGATGACTTGTAACCATGTTGCTAATGGGTTCAAATGTGGGTTGCGGAGAAAGTGTGACATGTCATAGAAATCCTCCCTCTAGGGATGAGTCTAGAAAGACTTACTGACCTCCATGTGTAAGGCAACAACACGAATGGAAATGAAAGGTGCAGGATAGAAGCTGACACTCCCTCAGTAAGGGTACCTGAATAGGATGTGAGGTTATCTATAGAGATCTTTTTAACCTGTGTAGGGGATCTGGGCTCTTCCAGATATTGGCTGAGCTGCATCACTCCCAAGCACTAAGTCTTGACCAAGCTGGCTTGGACTGGTGAGAGAAGAAGTGCCAGAGAAATAAGCTTCCTTCTCTTTTCCCCCAACCCCCATCAGTTTCCCCTTCCCATTGCAGAATCTCAGACTTCCAGAGAGATTTTATTATTTTAAAATTTTCAGCATTGAAAAACTCAGATGCAGGGAGACACGTAGAACCAGGCAACTTTAAAAAAAACTTTTTTTCTCAACCTTTCAAGTTATTTTCTGTTGTTACCGAAATATAATTAGTTGGAGTGTTTTTAGAGGCTGCCACTCAAGGCTGTTGCTATTTTTCCCTTCTTTTTCATAACTGACTCAACAGTGACGACATGGGTTCGCTCTGTCATTGTTTTTAATAATGGAGGGGCGGGAAGCATGAAAGGCGCTTTGAGAGCTGTGTTTCATTTGATAAGATAATTCTGTAATCAGGTTGGAGGCTTTTGACAGAACCTGTTCGGGATCTATCATCATGACTCATGCCTTCCAACCTTTTTTTAAAAAAAAAATAAATAAATTCACAGATGATTCCTCAGGCCGAACCCACTATCCCTTCATCCTTGACTCACAAATCCAAGAAGAGTAGGAGACCCCAAAATATTCAAGACACTCATCTAGAAGTGGGAAGTATGCATCAAAGACTGGGCTCCCCTTTGAGACCCATTCTTTATCATTAAAATAATGAATTCTCGCTTTAGCTTTTTTTTTAAAAAAAAATTGAGTATCATAACTAATGAAGAATGACGTAACTTAAGTGCTGAGGATAATTAAGACAAAATTGTTAAAGGATATCCCAATACTAAGTTTAAGCATCCATTGAAATTGAGTTCTGTGACCAGCAGACGTCCTTTCAGACGCATTAGAAAGCTTGCATGTTGCCTGCATCCTCTAGGTTGGTTCAAAAACCATCCCCGATTCTTGGCCGTATATGCTGATGTGCATCATGCCACAGAGAACTGCAGAGCTATGTGAGGTTCATCAGTGCGTGGAGTGGCATGCAGAAGGTCCATGAATGGGTCCCCAGCCCCTCCAGACCAGGAGAAAGCCCTTGCCTTTCAGAGTAGACTCCAGACCAATGTTCCAACTTTGCTTCAGTACAGAGGCTTGCGTTTTCTAGACCTTGCTTCAGTTCTTCTCTAAAAGACCCCTTTTCATCCTAACCTTGCTTTTCACTTTCGTATATCAACCGCAGGGACTACTAAGAGTTGGACACTGTAAAAACAACCTCGCACGGCTTCTCCCCCTCTTTTCTCTTCTAAAGCCTGGCTTCCCTAATTGCTCTTGACAGGAGAGGGGGGCAGTGCCTGGACTTCACAGGCGAGACACGAATGATGGAAAGAAAGAAAGACAAGATCAGAGGTCAAAGAGCCTTTTTCGGAGGGGAGGGAGGTAAGAAAGGTCTCCCTGCCTTCCTTTGTTCCATATCTTGGGAGTGATGGTGGAGCAAACCAACATTCTCCACAGCGCGAGGGAGAAGCATGCGATGGAATCCTTCAACATCTTGAAGTAAGTTTAGAAAGTAACTTTTCCAAGCTCTCTTAGGCCCACTATTAAAGAGTGTGAAGTTAAAGAGAGCAAGTCCATTAATCTCCCTCTGTCCCCCCCTCTCTCTCACTTCACACACACTCATACACACCCCTCTACCTGATGAGGGTGGAGGTTCCCTCCCCTGACTTAGAATTGAAACTTTCTGGATACCAGTTCCTCTTAATTTAAAAAATAAACATGTTTAAGAGCCCCTAAAAGGTCTGGATACCAAATAAACAAGAAATCTCAGCTTGCTAAAAGGTCTGGATACCAAATAAACAAGATATCCCAGCTTGATGACTGTGGAGCCAGAGGTTGTGAGTTCAATTCCTCTCTAGGTCTCCTGGGAGAACAGCCAGCCTGGGTGGCCTTGGGCCAGCTGCACAGTCCCAGGGATGCCCCCAGAAGAGGAGAATGGGAACCCACCTCCGAGTATTCTCTACCTGGAAAACCCTGGAAAGGGTTGTCAGAGTTACAATATGAAATTGTGATTTTTGTCCTTACAGGCTTCTTAATTTGGTGAAGTCTATGGGTGTCTGTGTGTGCGCGCACGCGCAGGAGCGCACATGTGCACACATGTATGTGTGTGCAGGAAACACTAGAGCCATAAAACTGCTTGATTACCTGCGAGCCATGGTAGATGTTTTATCCCTTTGTAACACTGCACTAAAACAGTCCGCTAACATTTTCTGATCAAATGCCAAAACTGATTCTTTTTTAGCTATTTCTGCTCCACACTCAAAAGAAAACCTTGAGAAACAAATTGAAATTTTGCCAGGATAAATTGCCTCCAGAGACTAGAAAGTGAGCAGCCTGAGTATGTAATTTAAAATCTTTTGGAAAGTGTGAATATTTTCCTTTTCAGGCCTCGGAGACGGTCGGGGAAGAATTCCAACATCATCTCTTGCAACAACTTGTATGACAATTTTGTTAAGCGGCTCTTCAAAAAAAGTAAACAGGTGCCATTTTAAAAATCAACAAATTTTCCTCTACAATGAAACAGACTAACAGAAGCCTTGATTTCACGTGTTCTCTCAGCAGGAATGTGCACAGGCCTTTGATGAAGCTTGAAGCCCAAACCAAAATGGGCCCTGTGGGTTACGACGCTTGCCAAAAATGACATGATCAGCAGCAAATATGGGCTGCGTCCCAAACTTTGTTTGCACTTTGGAAAGGAAGCAGGTGGGAGTGATTAGCAAAAACAAAAAGAAAAGCCCAATTTAAGCGTCGTTTTTATGAGAATACCCTGTGCAGAAAATTATGATGTTTTAGGGTGAGGGTGGACCCCAAGCAGATTTTCTGTATTTTGCCAGCTCTAGACTCTATGCTGAAATTTATAGATGCACAGCCCTGTTCTCCTAAGTACCAGCCTGACAAGGCTTTCCTGAGGCTTACCTTGAAACAGGCTCTGCGGTTCAAAGGTTAATCCTGACCCTTTCTTTTCCTCACCAAGGTGAGCTGGTCCTTAAGAGTCCGAGGCTAAGACGGGAGAGATCTGGGTGCAAATACTGACTTGGCTAGGACGTTCCTTGAGTGGCCTTGGACCAGCCCCTTCCCTCTCAGCCCAGTATGGGATGAGGGAGAACCACAAAGTTCACAAAGTAAGGGAAGTAGACAAAAAAATGTACTGTACAAGCAAAACATTGGCACCCATTTGACATTTAAGCTCACATGCCATTTAAAAAGACGCCACAGACATCCGAGGCCTTAGACCATAACTAACCTTTATTGGAGACATTTGGGGGTCATCTTTTATATAGAAGTAACATCATCACGTCACCCTCTTCCAAGTCACCCCCTTATAAATCTGTAGCAAAAGTGCACCTTTTCATCTATAGTATATATCTTTCCATATCCTCTGCCTCTCAAAGTCAGCTATTTTATTTGCAAAAACATTAGTGTCAACTATACAAAATACAAGCTTCATGTTCTCCTCGGCTACCTGGCTGTATTTGGTGTTTCAGGTGTGCATCCTGCTCCCTCCCCCCATCCAACAAAATGCTAGACACAGGTCCTTTCAGGTGTGCATCCTGCTCCCTCCCCCCCCCATCCGACAAAATGCTAGACACAGGTCATAAGGTCGCTGTGGGTCGTTCTCTTAGCAAAGAGAACATTCCTTTGTAATGCAGTTATCACCAACCAGCGACTGACAGTAAAAAATGTTTTTTCATTGGTGAGGACAACCTTTGAATACTACATTTGCATATTAGACATTAGCATTGTGGGGAAAGTCATTCTCTCCCCGCCCCAAAACAGTTCAAAGATGTAGAACGCTGAAACTTTAACCCAGTTCAAAAACACGTTTATTTGGAGGGTTTGTTTGTTTTAATAGCAGAAAGTGTGATGGATGGAATACCGTTGGGTACACAAGGCAAAACAGCAAGGTGACCACTAGCGTTACTGTAAGGACACTGAGAACAAGAGACGTCCCTCTGAGAAAAGTTTGGGTAAAAACAGAACACACGTTATGGAATTTATTTGGTAAGTGACCTTCCTGGCAGCTGCCAATGCACATGGTAGGGCAGGGCGTTCTAGGCCAAGCAGAGAGACCTTTCACGCTGTGATCAAATGGCAAGCTCGTTTTTCCTTCCCATGGAACGTGTCCCCAAGTGATCCACGCCTTCCTTTCTGGGGAATCGAGGCCTCTGATCTAAGCAGTCGCCTCTCCTGGCCCCACCCCAAGGGGCCACGTAGGGCGTCCCCCTTCATTTACGCAACTGGAAGCCACTCCAGGTGGGGACGGCAAGCAGCTGCTCCCAAAGCGGGCCTTCGTCCCAAACGGAGTCACGAGACCAGCAGGATGCTTTGAGCGGCTGGCACCCGGCAAGGGGCGATTTTCAGTGCAGTTATATAAGGCTTGCTGAGTCTTCCCATTAATCCTTGGAGTTTCCACCTATGAGACTGGTTAAGGAAATAGGAACAAAAATTGTGTCTCCACTAGACCGCCCGATTTTGCTCTCCTGCAGCCGAAGCGGCCGTGGCAGCACAACCACGACTGAGCCACAGTTTTGCGAGGGCAAAAGGTGAACAGATGAAGAGGAACGGCTCAAAAGGCAGAGAGGCAGGCCCGTTTGAATGGTTTCCCTCTTCACACCCATTCCTCTCATGGTAATGGCGACGGTATCAGAGAACCTGCTGGTTAATATGCATATTTTCCACACGCCAATCCATGCTCTTCCACGTGTTGTGTCTACGCAGAATTCATTATACCATGAAAGAAACACTGAACAGATCCTGTTTCAGTAGAGGGCACTTTTGGCTTCTATAATAGCTCCAAGAAATACAGTAACTTTCACATTAGACATGATCCTAAAGACTTCCACCTCTCTTTTTTTGCTCCCCTGAATTTGCCAATCTTGCAGTTCTGAGTCAAACATCTAATCAACCAACCAAACAAACAAAAAACAAGTCAAACAGGTTACAAAGCATATAAAATTACCTTTAAGGTGGTCTGGGAGAGACAGACAAAGTGAAAAAAAAGTAGAATAAATAGTGTTATCTGAAACCAAGATGACATCTTTGAGGAAATTCAAGATGGTCTTGAAACACCAACTTTCTGCCTTTTTTTTCTGTACATAAAATTCAAAATGTGATGCTTCCAATACAAATTATCCCGATGGCGATTCCGATGTCCTCGGCCACCAAAACCAGCCAGCTCATTTTTCTCCTGCTCGTATCCTAGAAACAGGCCTCAAGCCGACAGCAAAGGCTGAAATCGTTTTGCTAGAATCCAGAAAAGTGACAAAAAACCAGAAACCAAGGAAAACGTCTCAAGCCTTCGCCGAACGGAGAACAGAATCAACAGGGCTACCTTCTCAAACCTTTTCTTTGGGCTTGTGAAGAATTAAGCAGCCGGTTTTCAAGTAGAGGTAACAGATTCCGGAGGTCAGCGCATAGAGAGTAGGCCAGAGAAAGAAGCAGAAGCAGAGCGCCATGCACCCTCGCCGACAGCTGTCCGCCCACTTCCTCAAGGAAACAGCCCATCACATTTCCTCTGGATCTCCTGTGGTTCTATGGCTGAGGGGAAAACTGATTTTATTAGCACTGTGGTATCCTGTCCAGGTGAGGCCTTGACCCCTTCTTTTTTTTTCTTGCCACATGTGAAAGAAGTTTCAACATGGATCATCTTAGTCCCTTGACTGGTAGAAGAGGATGTATCCCGATTCCGAATTTTTGGAAATGTCCGATGTCAACCCATAAAACTCCTCAATAGCCTGGGCGTCGATTTTCTGCATTGGGGAGCAAGAACCAGGTTAAGGAAGGAGGAGGACCCTTTGCCTTTCCTCTCTGAAGCCTAAACCATGATGGCGTATTACACACGGCCACCGACGCAAACCATGTTTAACGGGGAGTGGCCATTTCTGGGTAAACCTGAGATGGAAAGGATGGGCAGAGGTAGCTTTGTTCACCTTGGTCGCAAGGGGATTCGGGAACAGCGCTGCGTTCTCTAGCCATGTCATCAAGGTGAGCTGGAAGAGGGCCATCGCTTTTCCAAAGCCGACAACGTTCAAGGCTTTGCAGAAGCTTTACCGGCATCACTTGCACCAGCAGACTTCAGCTGTTGCAACCCCAAAACTCATATTTAACCCCAACCTTCAACATGGACTGCCCAGTAATTTCTCTTTCTCTTGCTTGCTTTCTGCTCTTTCCTTCATCTACGTCTCAAAGGCAGCCGTCATAAACATTTCTTCCCCTGCTGTGTGCCTGCTCTTCCCCCTCCTGGTCCTTCTGGGACCACTGCCACGACCCTCAGAAGACTAAAGACCACAAGGCTGGGACGAGATGACGCACTTACCTCTACAATGTCATCGTCAAACAGCAACCAGAAACCATGGCTCTTGACGATGGTGATGTAATGCCCACGGTTTGGGCCACTGGGATAAAGCAGAAATGTCACATTAGTGAGAGAGAACTAAGGATCTCTCCGAGGTACCAACCAGCTTGGTTAATTTTAGTCATTGCTCTCATATGGCTTGTCGATCAGTGGAGCCTTTGACGAGGCCTCCGGTATGATTTAAAAATCACACACACACAAATTTCCAAAATGCTACTTGCATCTTAGGGGAATCAAAAAAGGGGACAGAATATAAAGCTGATAGCTGGTGTCTAAAGTAAGGCAGGGGTAGGCCTCCCCCCACCCCTGCATCAACTATAATATACAAATTAAAAATAATTCATGAATGCAGCAGCCCACGAGAAGAGCCTCACTGGATCAGACACACAACGCCTTCTGCACAGAACATTTTGTTTTATAAAAACCAGCTTCCTTTTTCTATTTTTAATCCAAAAGGCCAAATTAAATAACACTGGGTGCACTCTCTCAACAATACACAGTTTAACCACCCGGTGGTGCTAAACATCATTAAAAAAAAATACGCTAAACTCATGGGGCCAAACCCGGCTGCTTTAAATGACTTTGTTGTTTCTAATAATAGTTTTTATTTTGTTTTCATTTCCTAGAAGATGGAGCAGCCCATACCTGGCTTCTATAAGGAACTCAGCATTTTTAAACGACCAGCCAAACACCTTATGTTTATGGAGAGAAAAGGCAGGTCAAGATAGCAACTCAATGAACACAGTTGGAGAACAAGAAAATCTAGCTCTCTGTAGAAAGGAGATGGTACTAAATATTTGGCTACAGTAATGATCCAAAGGGGTCCTGTGCGATTTGCTCAGTCATACCACCGAAACGAAGACTGGAGGTCTCTGGTTCCTTTGGAAACGACCTGAGAGGATGCAGAGTTCAGCAAACCAAGCTGGTGGGCAGAGGTGTGGAAGAGTGGAAAAAAGAATGGAAGAAGACAGGATCCCACAGCACAGGGGAAAAGAAAGGGTCCTGGGGTGCAGGGGGGGCTTCTTTTGAAGCAAAGATGCTCTGCCCGCCACGGTGGCGCATTGGGACCCCCGCAGCACCTCCCAGGGGAAGATTTGCAGGAGGGAGTGCATGCGGCTGGTGGGAGTTGAGGGCCCGGCCACCTAGGAAGCCTTGGGCAAGCTGCATGATGGTCCTGGAGCACCCCCAGGAGGAAGGACCGGTAAACCACTTCTGAATATGACTGGTGGCCCATGTCTACGGCTCCCCAGAGCTTACCTGCCACAGTGCACCACGACGGCCACAAGGTCGTACATTCTGTCTGGGTTCGTGGCATCCCCAGATGTGTTGAAGAGTCGAAGCTCCAAGGGAAAGACGACGCGGTAGGAGAGCTTGGTGTATCGGTGCAGCTGGTCCATATATTTGAACCTCTTCAAGTGGAGAGCCAGGATCATGGGGAGCTTTTTCACACGCATCCTGGGGCCGCAAAACAAGGGCACAAGAAGGAGAGAGAGGAGAAAAGGTCCGTGTGTGTTACGCAGTCACTTAGCACCGACGGGACGTGTCTGAAGTCCCTCAGAGAGCAACACCCGCAGGGTCCCAGGAAAGAAGAATCGCTAAACATCTAACCTTCATGAAACTGAAACGTCACAGAGAATCGCTTCTGTGCTAAGTAGAACAGAGGGACAGGATTCTGTTCTTGGGGATTGGAATGAAGCGAAGCAGCTGCTCCGTTGGCACGAAAACCCACTTTCCTCCTCTCAACAAAAGGGGAAGCCTGAGAGAATTCTGCCCTGTCGCCCCGGGGGTTGTACAGTAAGAGATGGCCAAAAAGGATACTGAGCCTCAGCAGGAGAGGAAGAGGAAAAGCCCACCCGCAGCCAAAAGGACATAGGTTCACCTTCGCAAGAGCACTGTGCAGGGCGAGAAGGAGAACCGCACAGAGGTCACCCGGAAGGGGTACCGGAGAGGGACAAGCACCGCCACAGGGGGATCAATGGGAGCCTCACCTCTTCTGTGCTTCCTGTTTACTGCGGCACTGCTCACAGTAGTATTTGTATTCACTGCAGAGCGTCTCGGTGTTACTGAACCCCCTGTTTAAAGAGAGAGAGAGAAAAAAAAAATATCAGAGATTTAATGAGGAGTTTGTGCCCGGCAAGCTTTCCAGTCCCGAAACAAAAGCTCGTCACTTTTGCCCCAACGTAGCCCTGCCCGACATGACGGGAGTCCCAAACTGCAATGAGAAGGCCTTCCTTGACCTGCAGCCCCAGAAGGCTTGGACTACAACCCACATCATGGCCAGTCTGCACAGCCATTATATCCCCATTCACAGGCTTCATTATTGCCCCCAGAAGGTCTGAAGGCCGCCCCGTCTTGTGCAGCAACCCTTCCAGGAGAAAAACATTGTGTCCTCTTCAATGTCAGTACCGTGAGCCAAACTCCAGCCACCCTGCCTTCGTTACAGCTCGGAGAAGACCCATGTAGAGTTTGACCAGATGTGAAGGGCTGTAATTTTTGTCCCTCCTATTTATATATTTTTAAAAGATATACCTCAAGCAGTGTGTTATTGACGTATTTTGTTCCACGTCAACCGATAAGTCCAGAAAGTCTTCGTCTTTGCTGCTAACCTGCAAAATGGAAACAAAATAAGGAGGCAAGGGAGATATCATTAGAACTAAAGACATTTTAGAACAATTTAAATTAAGCATCTGTTTCACACACTGGATTTTTTTTTTTAGACTGGGCTACAAGGACCCTCTGTCCAGACATAAAGAAGATGCAACCACTTCTGCAGTTCTGCACTTCAGCTACGAAAAGGGATTAAGATGATTTGTGAGAGAGCTTGAAGGCCAGAAAGGTGCATGCCTGAAGACAAGACTGAGAAGAAGCCCAGACACACGTCAGAGAAATGACAAGGACAGTCCGAAATATAGACATTCAACCAGCACTGACCCCACGCTTCATGCCCACCCTTTCATCCACAGTTCAGACTTCCACTGACACAACACGAGAGGGATTAAAACCGTAAGGCAGACCGACTTTTTCCTGGGGGGGTGGCGGTGGCAGTGGGGGCATGTAAATAAGAGTTTGGAAGAATTTCAAGGACCAGCCAAGAGGCAACCTACAGCTTCGCAGTTCAGGCACCGGGTCTCATTGGTGAGCGTGCCCTGGAAGATCTGGTGGACCCACGTGAGGTCCGTCTTCTCCCCTTCGTCGCTCTCTAGGCTTCCGTTCTGAAGCTTGCCGTTCTGCTTCTCCTGCTTCTTCTCCTCCTGCAGCAAGTCTGCGATTGTGTTCAGTAGGTAGTTGAGGAATTCGTGGGCGTCCTGCTGCATGTAATTGTCAAACAGTTCTGAGGACAAAGAGGCACCAGACAAACAGAGAGAAGAAGGGACGTTAAGAGGGGATCCGACCCCTTTCAGGTGCAGTTGGCGCGGCTCCCAAAACTATGAGAGTAGTTGAGAGGGGTGGGGGGCCTGCCTCGTTGCCACAGTGTCGAACTGAGCCACCCTCCCCAAACCCGTGAACAGAAAAGCACGGCCCGTCTAAGTAAGTAAGAGCCGGCCCTCCTTTCTAGACCCAAGACGGCATTCACAGAAATCATGCTGGTGCACGGAGGAGAAAATCTAAAGCCCTCTTTTAGATCTGGCATAAGTGATGGGGCATCTGCGACACAAGACCAGCTGAAGGATAGCCAGCAGAACTTCCTCAGATCACAGCACTGACTGGGCTTTTCACCGCGTGTCACATGCTTTCCATTCTATGGATAGATGTTTAGATTTCACGACCATGGTGATCTCCTGGCCTCAGAGCGCCCATCGGTTTTTCCACTGGCCCGTGTAAATAAAACAGGACGGGAGCAAAACTGTCATGTTTGGGACGTGAATCTGGAATCTGAATCAGAAAGGCAGGGCCAGCTCTGGGCCAAGATGGGCCTGTGGTTGGGCTCCACCGAAGGCCATTTCCTCCTGTCCCTGCCATGGTTGGAAATGCCTGGAAGGAGAAAGTGAGTCCACCGCTTCCAGGCTGCAAAACTAAAATCTGAAGAAGCCCTCGTCCAGCCATGATGCTGAGGAAGGGAAGGTGGCTCGAGAGCGGTAGTTACCGTTTTCCTTCCTCAGCCGGGAAATAAATTTCTTGGGGGGGATGACCCCCACCTTCTTCTTCTGGGTGGCGATGCTGTTGAAAAGGTCTGAGAGGCAGGTCAGGAGGCTTTCCTTCTTGCGAGGCTGGACTTTATAGGCCAGAACCTTTTCCCGGAACGGGCGGCAAAAATAAAGGGCCTGTAAGACGGAGTTGCAGTAGCAGGTGTTGCCGAACTGGGCGGAAAAAAGAAGAGGACAGGATTATGGCACGCCGACTCGGAAAGCCTGCCTACACGCGGCACAAACAGGCAGCCGACCTGAGCCGAGAAAAAAAAGGGACGGGGAAATGAGAAGGTGGTTATGAATGACGAACATGCAAAATGTCTCATCTCACGGAATTCCGTCCTTCAAAGGGCCACCTCTTCTCCGGACGAAACATGGTGGTGGGAGCAGGGGACCACCTGGGGTGGTCGGATAAATGAAAGCTTTTACTATCAGCTGTGCTTCAGTGGTTCCCAAAGCTTGGGTCCCCAGAGCTTTCTGGGACTACAACTCCCAGAAGCCTTCACCACTAGCTGTGCTGGCCAGGATTTCTGGGAGCTGCAGTCCAAGAACATCTGGGGACGCAAGGTTGGGAACCACCACCCTAGAAGTGGCTTCTGTATGACCTAAGACTCTAGGCCAGGGGTCCTCTGTGCTGGCTGGGGTTTCAAGGTCAACAAATGATGGGGTCACATTCTTCAAAGTACTGTTAGTTGCAGGGGAAGCACAATAACCAGCACACAGGCACCTGAAGGAAGAACATGCTAACACAACAAGGAGCAAAATCCTTGCATGCGGCTGTTCTGACTTATGCGCCCTCCACTCCCTTCAAAATGGCAAGCCGCCGCCACCACTAAATGCTGCTTCTGGGAATCTTCAACTGAGGTCTAGATTAGATGCTCTGTGATTTTAAAGAAATCTTGCCGGGGAAAACATAAACATTAACTATCGGTCATCAAAGTTCCAGGGTTCCATATCCTCACTCTTTAAAGAGTGAGCCCTGCTGTGAAATAAAATCATATGCGCTGTGGGAATTAAATTATATTTTAATATCTCATGTAAACATTTTAGAACTAGAAGCTGCAATAAGCAGGCTGTGCTGTCTGTAATGAAGCTCTTCACAACTCTGCACTCTGGAACCGGGAATTCCTATGCCACTGACAAAAGGCTTGCATTGAGACGGTTTAACTTCTTCCTCTCTCTCTCTCTTTTTTTAAGATTAGTAATACAATTCAGCAGATAGATGTTCAGATTCAGTCTGTGCTTCTTAAGCCAACACTTGGAGTTACATGGGATCTCCTGCAGGAGATCACTCAAGAAGCAGCTACTGCCAAGGTCCTGGGGGGGGTGGATTAAGAGCAAGAAGCAACAGGCTTTGTGGGGTTGGAAGTCAAAGGCTGCAACATCATCAGCACAACGACGCCCCCCAGAAAGTCACAAGCAGGAAACAGACACTGTGCTCCAAGAAACTTCACAGAATCAGGGCCTTCCTCTGCGTCAGTGTAGATTAAGGACAGGAGGATGAAGCTGACTCAGCTTCGAGTTGCTGGCATTCAGCAGAGGAAAGAATGCCCCGGAGGGCAAAGGCGACAGTCATTTCTTGCTTCCTGTTTGCATTGCCCTCCTGGCCACAGGCCGGAGGCTGGGAGAAGCAGCTGTTTCACATATGTTGTGCATCTGAAGGCAAGAGAAGCAACAGGAGGAGGAGGAGGAGGAGAGGCTGGTGGGAAGGAAGGGGTTGTGACCAAAGCCATTCAGGACTCCTGCAACATTATACCACAGAATCACAGAAAAGTGAAGTTGGAAGGGGGCCTACAAGGCCATCCAGTCCAACCCCCTGCTCAACGCAGGAATACCATCAAAGCAGATCTGCCAGGTGATTATCTTAAGTTTTTCTTCAATGCCTCCAGTGTTGGAGCACTCACCAACTCCCGAGGTCACTGGTTCCACTGTCGTACTGCTCTAACAGTTAAGACATTTTTTCCTGATATTCAACTGAAATCTGGCTTCCTTTAACTTGAGCTTTATATGCTTTCCTCCATTGGCAACAGAGGGCTTCCCAGCACTATGGAGATCCAGAGGCCCCAAGCTTATCATTGGGGCTGTGTAAAATTAAAATTAAACACGTCCAACAGTGAAAGAAAGCACTGACGCCAGTGAAACAGCAGCAGCTGAACAAGTGAGAAGAGCCATAATTTTGGGTGTGTTCATAGTTCTGGTATTATATTAATACTGTATTTATTTACTCTATGCATTTCCCATCTTTTCTCCAGTGAGCTATAGGTAGTATCCACGGCTCTCTCTCATCACCCTCATCCTCACAACAACCACCCTGTGAGGTAGGTGAGGCTGACTCTGTCAGCTTTGTCAACTGAGGAGCCTGGGTTAGTGGGGTTCGAACTCGGGACATCCCAGGCCAATTTCAACACATGAACCACTACTCCATGCCAGCTCTCACTGCTCAGGCAAGCAGCCTGATGGCATGAACAGATTTTTTAAATTCTTCTTCTTGATCAAACTGCGCACATATCACTGAACTCCCCTCCAAACCTGTTCTCTAATGTGCCGCTTCTATTTAGAAGAAAGCATTTTCTCAAATGGGAAAGCAATAGATGTTTCAAAATCCAAAATAGGTTGCTTTGTTTCAATTCGTGAAATAAAGACAGATCTTTTTTTTAAAAGTGTTTCTGGATTTCAGAATATTTGTTTGAGCAACTTTCCATTCTGTGTCAGTAGCATCGCCCACAAACAGAATGCTCAAGAGTGAAAGCGTTTTTCCTTTTAGAACCTAGAAGACTGAAGCAGGAAGGGAAGACTGAGCACAAACCCACACGTAGCATTGAAAAACCCACTCACATTGACCAAGCCGAAATAATGTTCATTCACGGGAAACTGCTCTGGACCTATTTCTTTCTCTAAAGCGGAGGCATTAGCGCCCTGGAAAGACAAAACAGTCAATGGTAAACAAAAGAAAAAGGAAACTCATTAGATTTGTTTTTAATAAAGTTCCACTTCACCTGCATCTCAGAAAAACAAGAAATGATTAAATAACAATCACACACACACACACACTGCTGATACAATGCACTCCTGGAGGTGTCTCACTCAAAAGACTGATCTCAGCATCACCCTCCTTGGTTTCATTTCCTGGACTTCTGTTCCATATTTCTCCCCAAAATAAGACCCAAAGCATCTCACAACCATTTCAGATAAAACAGTACAGACCCTCTGGCAATCTACAGCACCAGATGCTCAGACAACATTCTCTGGACCTTATGGAAAACATCTGTAAGTTTTACAGCACAGAACGTGCATGTTCAAAAGCAATAATTTAAAACCAAAGCAAACCATACTTTTTTTTAACAGCTACTAAAACCTAGTTAAAGGGGATTCCTGCCAAGATGAGCATTATTTCCAAGAAGTACAGGAGTGGCAGACAAGTTTCATTTATGTAAGTCAGGATGAGTCCCTCTCTTGCACATCTTTTCTTCTGATCTCCACCAAGGGGAGGGGGGTGGCAGAACAACAGGACAAGTCAAATTACGGGTCCATTAGTTCATTATTACCATCTGTGCTTACTGGCGACCGTCAAAACCAAGTTTTGGACAAGATCACCCTCAGCCTTGGGAGACCCAGGACATTTCCATAGACACAGGGTGCACTTTAGCACCGAGGCTCAATCCTTCCCCAAGAACCACCGCCATATCTAAGATGACATCCAGGATTCCTGCTGCTTCAAGTATGCACTTTTGAAAGACACGGCCTAGGCAGGGAAATGCCAGCTATAAAGAGAAGTCAGGGGATGTTTTTAACGAACGCTTTTTCAGTTCCAAAATTCTGAGTGGGCTGGGATGCATGCTTGGGTGTATGTTATCCATAACACTGCAAGAAACAGAGGTACACACAGCTGTCTTGGCTGTCGATGTCCCGAGCATATGGGCAGTGGCAATCGGGACTTCACACTCATATAAAATCAACCCGAGAGCCTACGGGTCAATCTCAACCATGTCTTTGGCACTTACTTAGAAGCAGTGCTCCCTCAAGTGGTGAAAGCGGTCTGTTTGTTAGAGCTTGTGCTTTCCCTTGTCTCTGTTTTTCTTCCCCCTCCCATTTTAACACGCTCTGTTTTGGGATTTGCCATCAGAATGTGCAAATCTAAACGCTGAGGTGTATCTTTGCTGGGAACACAGCATGCACAGCTGTCAAGCTGCCAAGCTCACATTTTCAATCTCTGCAAACATTTACAGTTCAAAAAGCATTTTTAAAAGGAATATGCATCATCCAAACCCAGCAAGTCCCCACTTTAAAACATACAAACGCACAACAATAAGGAGTATTTTCATGCCTGAAGCACAAATGTTTCATTAAATTGGTGTGTTTAAGATGTGAAAGCAATAATAAACCTACATAATCAACAATACATAAGTTGAAATATTGAATGCAAAAGGTTCATGGCCTGGATCCAAAGGAAAGGCATGTCCTTAAAGAAGGAAATTTAATGCACCAGTGGAACCGTTTTCGTCTCTGTTCCCACTGTCAAAGCGATGGGCCATTGCACAAGAGGTCGCCTCTACTGGCCTATATTCAGTTGCTAATCCTAACGGAAGAAAGACTCATGGAGTCAACAGATGAATGCTAAGTCAACACGTCTGTAACTCCCAGTGATTCAATGGGTCTACTCTGGTTTGGACCAGCAACTTCCAAACTATCAAGATGCTTGGGTTTAATCGGCTTTAAAACTGCTTCAAGTAGAGTGCAGGAATGTAACAATGGTATTTTAAGAAATATGTATTTTAATCACAGAAAGCCCTGCTCTTCTGAACGAGGCCCCTTTTGCTCCTGCAGACAGCATGAACGCACCAGTATCATTTCAGAACTTCAGACAATGGATACGTAAGGCCATTGTTCACCGCAAGTGAAAAGCACAGCTTTTTCCACTTCAACCTTAAATGCATTCCTCTCTCTAAAAAAGATTCTGAGGACGGAATACATTTACAAAAATCAATACCCACAGGAGGCAAGGAGGCCCCCTTCTTTACTGGCAAAGCTACAGAAATGAGAAGCGGAGGTGAGCTAAGTATCTTTAGGACAAAACTAGTCGTAAAACACCACGTGCCACAGTCTCTTGGAAAGCAACACCTTAGGAAAGACAAAACCTTTGGGAACACAGAGCTAAGTGGTCAGTGGATGATTTTGCTCCTGGAGCAGAGGTTTTAACATCAGAGACTTTGGGGGGGGTCTCTAAGGCCCTCATCCCCCTCAACAAACAAACACTCAATTCGACACAAATGCATTTGTACTGCAGGGCCCCAGATTGCCTGTGATCGGCCTCCATTTTAATGGATGGCCATCAATTCCAACTGGCTAGCTGAAGAAGAAGAGCTTGAAGCCAACACGCCGGCTGCAGTGGCTTCCATCGAAGAAGCTTGCCGGGCCTCTCCACCATCCACCATCCGCCAGTTGAGTTTGGGATATTAAAAACAGCACATCAGTTTGCAACGGCCCACAAGAACTTGATGCACAGCCTTGAAGATGATTTATCATCAAACGCTCACTATTTGTTTTTTGTTCTGTTTTATATTCTTAATGGTCGATTAAAGGTATCACCTACTCCTGCACTTGTATTGTTTCCACGACCATGCAACCTTATTATGATTTTCCTAAACTCAATTCAGACACTTCTTGAATTTGTTTTTTTCTGAATGACAGGAAATGGTGATTTCAGGGTGGCTGCAATCCACAGCAGAATGTGAAGGTGGGGGTGGGGTGGGTGGGAAATCTGCACACACCCCCAACCTGTTGAAACTGCCCATCCTTGACACAGATAAGTGTGGGCGTGCGCACACATGTGCATGCATCTTTTTTGCAATAAACGTGAGCCTGGGCAAGCCACTTCAAGGTTCTCAGTCTGCAACAGGACACAAATCTGCCCTAATATAAATGGGTACATAAAATAAAGGAGGGTGGGAGTCGCTTGTGATTTTTTTAAAGCCAGGGCAACTCCAACAATCGTTATTGATAATGTTTTGATGCCAAATGGTCTTGCTGAAAACAAAAGTCGTTCTACTGGTTCACGAAGGCTGACGTCGATCTTCCGTCCACCTCTGCCTTCCTCCACTCGGGGCCTCCGAGATGTCTTGGGTTACAACTCCTCTTGTCCTTAGCAAGCCATCACGCCGGCTGAGGAGGATGGGAACTCCGCCACCATGAACCTGAAAGGTTCTGAGTCGGAAAGGCGGCTGAGAGAGAAAAGCCAAGGAACCTGACTCCCTGAAAATGGCTGAGCAAGCTGACACCAAAACCTACGCAACATACGGCAAAATGCTCCATATATAGAGAAACTGAAAGCAAGCCTGACGTCTGCAGTCGTGAACCTCCCCCGCAAGTGCCCCCAAAGCGCTTTGGAGACAGACCAGCCCAAGCCAGCCGGGGGCTTATTAAGCAAACCATCAGTGGCCAAAGATGGAGGAATTGGAGAGAGGGCTTTATTGGACAGGTGTAGGAAGGCAACCAAGGAGCTAAACATGACGTACGGCTCATAAAACATCTCGACTGCATAAGGTCTCCATGCAAACCAACTTCACAAGCCCCAGAGGGGTCTTATCGCAGCCAAGTGACTCACTGTTGCACTTAAAAGCCCAGAAGGCCAGATTTAAACCAGGCCTGGGTTCAACTCCTTCTCTTTTGCTCTCTCTCTTTCTCTCAAACACAGCATATTACTTTATTACTGCAAAATGTAATAAAACTACCTCCCATTCTTTGAAGCTTACTTTCTTACTTGATCTGCTCGAGAACTTCTTGTACCCTCCTATCCTTCATAGCTTAATTGCTTACCGCGACATTTCATTTTGCAGTGCAATTAAACCCATTCATGGGCAAAGAAAGAAGTGATTTATTATCCCGGACACTTGAAAAGCTCTTCTGTAAAAACTCTAAAGACACATCCTCTGTTCGCTTTCTGGTTCGGGGATGCACAGGTCTTTTTGCTTCTTTGTTTAAAGTTTACCACCCAACGTAATATGCATATGTGAGTGTTCCAACTGTTTTAAAACTTTCACTTTTGACAACGTATCATTACACAATTGAAATAGTCTTGTAAGCGACCCGTGGGCAAAAGTCTCCAGAAATAAGGGACCAGCTTTCCCAATGCAGTGAAGATAAAAACCACTTGTGGGAAAGATAATATCTGGGGGGGGGAGGAAAGGGGGGGAGAAACATCTGGATGGCCCCATCTAATCATGTTAAGGATGTTCACCTCTCAAAATTAAGGAAAGATTAGAATGTACCATTTGGTTTTTCAGGGTCCAACGTTAGGAATTTAAACACGACTGATAGATGCTCTGGCAACTGACCCAAATGATGGTTTGCCAAGAAAAAACAAGACCTAAAATCTACCCCTGCCTCCCCAGCCGATGACTCAGCCTTGACTCTCCCTTTTCAAACAGTTTTTTACTCCAAGGTTAATACCAGATCACCTCCCAAACAAAACAACACTCCTGGAATTAGAACATGCTCGGCTGACACATTTCTCCCGAATTCCCAAACAGTGCGTGCCGTGAGAGGAAGATCCCCGTTCTTAGTCTAAAACTTCTCTTTTCTTCCTCTGGTGACAAAGCTAACGATTATCCCCATTCTAGAGTTGATGGAAGAAAAACGATGACTTATTGGTACGGAGTCAGCTGTATGCAGAGCACCTGATGCTCTACAATCAGCCATCGGAATAAAAGGGATGACCCGAGTGGCCGTCACAAAATAGAAAAGCAGAGAGAAGGGCGATCAGCAATGAGAAAGAGGACAGAGGGGAGGGACAGCTGCATGTGGGCAAAGCAGGCTTAGTTAAACTTGGGAGAGAAAAAAATTAACTGAACAGGGATGTGAAGGAAAAGAAAGGGGGTGTCAGGAAGAGCAAGAGAAAGTAGACTCACTGTAGGGGAGACCAAGGCCACTCAAGAGTGAAGATCGGGGCAAAGACATAAATGGGACACAGGGGCTGAGAGACAGAAGAGGACAAGTCATACAAAGCTTCCAAAAAAACAGGACTAGGAGCGTTGTGATGAGGGCAGAATTGGATGGAAAGCCATTCAGAGATCTGAGAAAGGGCATCGCGCGGACAAGCCAAATGATCTTAGCGTTTTGGATCAAGGCAAGAGGTGAGACTGGGATAAAAGCAAGGCAAGAAAACAAAAAGTGACCAGAGAATGAACCAGCATTTGAAGGAACTATGAGTTTGCACAAAATTTGTTAAGAGTTCAATTTCTCTTTTGCTCTCGATGCTCCGAGATAAGATGGAGGCGCTTTGCCTGTTAAGGAGGAGGCTGTTGATGGGGTTGAAGAGCATCAAGAAGAGAGAGGCTGGGAAGGAAAACTGAGGAGTTTAGTCTTGGCACGTTGACCTTGATTCAGTGACAAGGCATCTAAAAATGTAAATCAAACAGGCAAAAATACAGGAACAGGAGAGAGCGAGAGAGAGAGGTTATCACCAGAGAATTTATACCTACAGCTCAGAGGTGAGCACTACAGCTCTCTGGCACAAAAATCTCACCACTGCACCAAACTACAGCTCCCAGGATTCCACTGGACACAGCTACGACACTTAAAATGGAACAAAACTGCAGTCACTACCCGTTGTAAACACACCCTTCATCTCTGCCTCAGCAGTCAGCAAACTCAGAAAAGCATCCATTTTCAGAAGAGCTGGAAAAAAAGAGAAAGAAACTCAACCCACGCTGAGTACTAATTTTGCTCCTCTAAGCTCTTTAATCAGCTTGATTTGGGGAAGCGTCAGAAGTTTTTGCTTTTTCCATTTTTTACCTCTTTCACAAGAGTCTAAGAACTGACGGTCTGCCTGGGCCGATTCCAGCTTCTCTATCCTTTTCGCACATTTCTTTCTTTCTCAATTTGGTTTCTGGCCAAACAAACCATTTTCTATCATGCTGAGGAAACTGAATTCTGCAAGGAACACAAGGGGTCAGAATCGGCATCATCTAAAGGCCTTGCCATCATCTTGCAGGACAAGTACACCAGACAGAATCTCAGACCATCTTTCTAGACGAAATAGCAAATCCTCTTCTGTGTCCTGCAACACTGGAGAGTTCCCTTCCAACACAAAGCATGTTTAGATATTTTAGGCCAGTAAAGGGGGCCAGATAAGAACATTTTGTCTTAAACATTTTATTTATCATTCAAAAATAAAATATTTCATACGCCAACTCTTTTCAATTCCATCCCTCATTTTTCCAGGGGAAAAACACAAAGTCCTTAAATGCAAGTCTGGTGTCCTTCCAATTTGTTTGGTTTTGGGTTTTTTATTTAAACAGAAGTGAGGATGCAAAAAAAAAACAAGCCGTGTTTGTGGATTTGAAGGGTGTCTCTAACACTGCACATGCACAGCTTGAGAACTCGACCAGAGACAGGGAGAGTGACGCAGGCGCAGTGGGAGGTACAGCTGAAGGGGAACAAAAGGGGAAAGACCGAGGTCATCCCCTGACTGGAGGGATCGCAGGCACTCTGTACATGTGCAATGACAGCTCTGCAAAGAAACGATGCCCAGTTTTGTTGGGAACCCTCCTACCCCCCCCCCTGTCAACACATTATTTTAATTCTGTATTTAACCGTGTGGTTTGAAGCAAAGCAATGCCTTAATGCACCATCAGTGCTTCAGTGCTTCCGGTCAGCAAGAGGAATTGAGTTACAATGCAAAAGAACAACCAGCTCTCCTCAATGTGAGTCATCAAAAGGCAGGGGAAGCCCCAGGGCAGAAACCTAGGGGCCACACCCATCCCTTCTGCCTGCTGTGACACCACATCTTTATTGGGTTCATCTCCATTAAGACACTGGAGCCGAAACTGGAGGGGTGGGGGAACTGGAAACCGTGCCAATCCCAGGTTGGGCATGGCAGCAGTGTGCTCCACCACCACAGAGCTGTTCTCTCCCATTCCGTTGGTCCAATGGAGCAATAATGAACTGCTCAGATCCTCAGTCAGAGGTTCTCTAGGGAAGTACGTACTGTATTTTCAGGGCAGGGCACCCCTGTTCTGCAAGACCAAAGGGGGAAACTAGGCACATGGTGATGTGGAAGCGGGTCCTTCTGGATTCTGTGAGGCCTCCTGCCAGGCAAAACACAGAGCCACCGCCTAAAAGGATTCAGGTGTCTTCCATAAGATTTGTGGTGTAAAGCGTTGCTTTTATTTTGCTTCACAAATTGCAAATATCTTCACAGGTTGTGATTCTCGGGGTTTCGGAACCTTTTCTGCATTTTGACACTTCTTTGCAAAAAAAAAAAAAAATCTGCAGAAGTGGTTTATGCAGAAGAACCTTGTATTTTGTGCTGAAAGCTCCCTAATTCCAGTCCTTCATGTGAAGCATTTTGTGCTGCTGCTGCTGCTGCTATTGTGGGAACTGGCTGACCATCAGAGCTGACTGAGACACACTTTGGATCACATTAAGTTGTTAGAAGAACTTTGCCCTACACGTTTCCTTGAAGAAACAATGAACGAGGAGACAACTGTAAGTGACACATCAGAAAGAAGTTTCTTTCTAGGTCCCTATGAAATCATCCACCCACCGTGAAGGCTGTCCATTGTATCCCCGTACAAATCCACGACCTGACAATGCATCCTCCCAAGCAGAGACAAGATGTTCCGCCTTTCCTCTGCCATGGGCATGATCCTATTGTTTTCAATTACTCATCCTCATGGGATGATGCCAGCTGCATCTCAGCAACTCAAAGATACACCCAGAGGGACAACTTATGCAGAAGCACAAGGCTTGTTTCCTCTCTTAAATCAGGCAAAAAAAAGGTGCCTCTTAGTCAACAGACCAACATCTCCTAAATTCCCAAGCTCAGAAATTAAGTGCACCAAACAAAGTTTGAGTCATAACAGTCAATACACAAAACACTCCTCCTTTAATTTTTTTTTGTGTCCCGCATGCATGACTCTGCTCAATTCAGAAAGCACATAACGCACACGGTGCAAGAGGTGGCTCTGGGACTTTTCTTTTCGCAAAGGCCGGCAAGCAAAGGGTGCCAGTATTTGCCAATAGCTGTGACAGGAGAAGCGCCATGTAAACATGAGATGTAAATAAAGCAAGCAGGGAGAATCACGAAAAGCATCAGGGAGGGAAAGCAAGGACAAAACCAGAAAACAAAGCCACACACTACACAACCCCACACGATGCTAAGGACCTGAAGGCTTTAAAAAAAAGCACTGCAAAGTATAACAGAGTCACACTTTGGAGGGGGGGGGTGTGAAGAAGAGAAAGAGACTTCTTTGTATCCCCCCCCCCCCAATCATAAGGGTGTCTAGCCTTACACATGGTTAGTCAGGCAAAACACTGCAAATTTAGAGGAAGGTGATGTTTTGGCCATCTGTGGCGGATCATCTCACCCCCTCAAGCTGCTTAGCTACCAAGACCGGCCCCAGCTTCCCCTGCCAACCTGAGCTAGCCTCCTTCTGATTTGTACCAATGGAAATAGTAAAAAAATTCCTGATTCAGCAGCAAAAATGACATTGGTCGGTTGTAGAATGAATAGGTAGATGCCACAGAGAAAAACAATGCTTTGCCTCAGAAGACGGTGAAAAGCCAAGAGCACTTTATTGGACATGGGAAGGATTGGAACGGGGTGATTAGAGATGTGAGGGGCATCCCCAGAATGTGGCGCCTTGGTCCCACATGTGTGAATATTTCACCAGCTTAATTTTTCTATCAACTCTTCTCTTCTTTAACTCAGTTGATGTAAGGCAGGCAAATGAACTCTCCTGTTTTCAAACAAAGAATTATTCTTCCTTGATTTAAGTATACCCCACCTTTCCTCCAGGCTGGATCTCAAGGAAGTACAGGTGGGGTTCTCACCTGAGCACAGAACAGACCCCACCCCTGCCTCCTATAGCAGTGGGATCTCACCTAACTAGAGATGAATTCCTCTGTGATGAAAGGGCACATTTTGTTGACCGTCCATGCAGGGAACACATTTCTCTGCACCCTCCACAGTTCCCTCTACACATCCACCATCTCAGGAGGTGTCATTAGATCTAGGCCATGGCAGCATGCTGGACTCCGACCCACTTGAAAAGACATGCCTCCTCTTAACAGGCAACGACAACTTCTCGCCCTAATCCGCCTTTACATGATGCAGACACAGATGCATTCCAACTAACCTCATTTCATAAGACAGGCCAGGGAATAAGAAGGAAGCAGAACACTCTTCTGTCCTTTTTAAGCTCAGTGGGTTTCCTGCAACACAACTATGTTTGGCATTGCAGGAAAACACACTATCAGTGGGGAACCACCTTCTAGAAGAACAATACAGGATGGAGAGGACAGGACCAGTCCTCCCGAAACCTGGAGAAATTCTTACGGGCAGGTTTCCTGAGGATACCCTGGACTACAAATCTCATTGCCCACACGTCTGACCAAGGACCATGCTGGCTGGGGATGGTGGAAATGTAGTCTAGCACTCCTGTAAGTGGGCAGGCACTCTTTTAGAGAGTGACTACAAGTGACAAATAGGAGCAGCACAAGATCACACAAGGGTCAAGGTGCACGGTACGCCCCGTGTCGCGGTGGTTAAGATGCCATTTGACAATGCATTTGCTAAACGGCAAACCTTTTCACCAGATTTTATTCACACTTGCCACATGAAAACCTGCAGACACTCTGGCACTGCTACCAAGGGACTGCCAGCAAAATCACCAGAAGAAAACTGATTACAAACTGGGTGTGTACATAAGCGAAAGAATACAACTGGATCACAGGGTGTGGATTGAAGAAATACAATACAACATGCTTACTGAATCTTAAATGGGTCTGTGTAAGTGCTTGGATGAGAAACCCCTGGGGAATTTCACTCTTACCATCTAATAGATATCTAAGCTTGCTTTTAATATCCACAAAGTGGATTACAACCTATTTCAATAATGAAACCATACAATCAACAATATTCAACATATAAATCATTTAAGGCACAAAGACAGCAGCAGCAACAGCAGACAAAAGAACGGACACAAAAATTAACAAAATGCAGACTAAAATAAAAAGCTGTTTCAAAATCCATGAGCAAAAAAGGGCGACACTTCTGGGAGAGGGTATTACGGAGTTGTGGGGCCACCACAGAAAACACCCTTCCCCTGACACTTGTCAGTTTCATAACCCTCACTCACAGGCCAGCCAAAAGACCTCAAAGGTTGATCTTTAAGCTCAATCAGATTGGTTCACTTGCAGAGGGGCCCTTGGGTCAAACTGTCCAGGCCTTTAAAAAAGGAATACTACCTGAACTTTAAATTGGCCCCAGAAATCAGCCGGCAACCTGTATAAGTAGGACACTATGGGTGCACCATTTCAAAACACCCAGCTTATGCAAGCTTTCTGGCTGCTGTGTTATGGAACAACTGCAGCTCCCAGACCATATTCAAGGCCAGTCCCACGTACACTCAAATTTGGGTAGTTAAAATCTGGACAAAACCATAGCATGTATTACTGAGACGACATCAGCATGCTCCAGATAAAGCTGAAAGTGAACCCCTCTCTTGCTTTCCTCTGTTTTAAAAACTGGACAAAGATATCCGTACACTTCCTCCAAGCCAAAGGAGGCAAAAAAAAAAATATATCCACAAGTACACATAACAGTTAGAAAGAAGGCCCTAACACTGTTCAGAGAATTCCACCTCAAAAGAAATGAACACTTAGTAGTGGAGAGTAGTGCATTATTTCCCTAATTTCAGATCTCCTGATATTTTTAACCTTTAAGGGACCCAGAAGTAAAAGGGAGAGACAGACTCAGAAATATACTTTCAGAACTAAAATTATTTTAGCAAGGGATACAGAAGCTGACGAAAGGTCGTCACTTCTATGAATGGAAACTCATTTCAACTCAGGTTGCCCACATGTTGTCCTTTTCCACTGACAAAAGGACGCCTTGTAGACCTTGAGAAAGAAACAGCCAAGATCCAAATTGCCCTGTTCTTCCACACACCCACGTATAAGAGTGACTGATAAACAGAAGTGTCTGAAGACTTGTCCATGAAAGCTTGCAGTAAAATACAGCAGCCTTTAAGCTGCCGCCACATTTTTTTCTTCTTTGCTTTTTTGTTTATGCCGGACATCATAAACAGAAATATTTAACCAGAATGTTTTGGCTTCCGACTTCTTCTATCGCTCTGGTGGGAAAAAAAGTCTCATATATAAACAGACAATGAGAATGAAGCATCCCTTCAACCAAAGTTACTCTGGTGGTTGTTGCGGAAGCCTTCAAGAATACATTAAACTTGCTCCGGATCTGTCGATATCGCTAATCCCGTACATATAAAACAGAATATAACATACAGTATATAATCCCATGTATGTTTGCGAGTCACTGTTTTAGAAGTATACACACACACACACACACACATATACAGTTAAAATAGTGACTAGCAAACAGAGACATTTAAGCAAAACATTTCAGCTTCTGCTTTCTTCAGTTGTTCTGAGAGAGATACACAACATGTGTGTGTTTGCAAGCACCTCTCTCTTTGCAAAAGAAAGAGGTGAGTGAGTGAGTGAGTGAGTGA